GTCTATGACCAAAAATGTTAGAAGATATGTTTTCAGTGGACTTTTAAAATTTGCTTTGCTTGAGAAAACAAATATACAGTTACAATGTTTTTTTTCTTTTGATTTTAGTGAAACACACACACACACACATTTATATATCATTAGGATGAATCATTATGATACACATATATTCATTAATACATGTGTATGTTTTTGTATGTATATGTTTATATGTGTAGAGTTGGTTTTGCATCAAACACAATGTGATTCTCGGCAATCAAGATCTGACAGCAGCAGCACATTTTTCGGCTTGGGCGAGCGCTTTGCGAACAGCTTACCTCGCGCACTAAATCTGCCGCAGACCAGCAAATCACTGAGAACCCATTATAATCCTGACGAATCATAGCAATAGAGCGGAGGCGAGAAAGCTGCGGAGAATCCGCTCTGTCACAGACTGTGACGTAAGGATTGTTGTTTAACTGTTCTGTAGAAATATTTATTCAGTGGATTGTATCCCTCAATTAAAAGCCAACAGGTTTAATGGGAGAAAATGGTATTTTCAAAAAACAAACAAAAAAAACACAATCACTTGATGGCAATAAATTAGTTTAAAGTCAAGTAGTTAAAAAATATGTCAGAGTCTATGTTTATCTTTCCTGTCTTTTTTTTTCCTGTGCTAATGTCATGATTGTGCAGTGGTAAAATGTGAAGCCCATTGAAACTGTCACAGCCCATAGAGAGTTGTTGAGTGTGTGAGTAGGTGTGTGTGTTTGTTGAGGGTTAGCACAGCTGTGGTTTAACTAGGGCTGCTTGTGGTTTGGCCTCAGGGGAGATTTTGGGTTTGAGGGGGTTTAGGAGGAATTGCAGTGCAACAGTAAATCTGGCAGGTGTCTTTGAGAGTGTGTGTTTATGTATGGCTGCTTGTGAGTTATTGCGGCGTGGGATGTTTGAAACAGCTGAATGCTGATGACGGTGTAGCAGATTGTATGTAATGCTTTGTTTAAAGCAGTTTAAGATTAATTATCTTTGGCAAGACAGTTTGTGCAGCGTCAAGCAGATTTCAGTTTCCTGCCCCAGAAGACTGTAGGCTGAGATTCTTTAGGCTTTTCCTTATGCAAAAAGTCATGCGCTACACACTTAGTAAACCAATATATTACCTGGCTGATTAATTGACCAGTATTTGGTAATTGCTCACCAAGAATTTGATTAAAAAAAACACAGTAAAACAGTAATATTGTGAAGTATTACAATTTAAAATAATGTTTCTATTTTAATATATTTTAAAATGTAATTTAATTCCTGTGATAGCAAAGCTGGATTTTCAGCAGCCATTACTCCAGTCTTCAGTGTCACGTGATCCATCGGAAGTCTTTCTAATATGCTGATTTGGTGTGCTGGCTAATGTTTTTTGTGGAAACCGTGGTACATTTTTCAAGATTATTTGATGAATAGAAAGTTCAAAAGAACAGCATTTATTTGAAATGGTAATCTTTCAATTTCTTTAATTTCTTTAAAAAATGCCACGGCCATTTGTCTTTAGAAAATGTAGAAAGTTATATTGTAGTAAATGTAGTAAATTATGTTATTAACATTGACCACTCCTCTCTAGATATTAGATAATCACAGTCTGCCTTGATTAAACTAGCAGTTACGTAATAATGTGGAAGAGTATGATCTGAGCAACTCTGTAATCCTGGGTTACCGCATCATCAGATCATTACCCCCATCGTCAGACTGTTAACCTAATAAAAGTTATATATCACCTACTTAACGCTAATAGATAGTTACATACCAGCCAAGACATAAAAAGGATGGATTACTTTTATGGTGCTTTAATAGTACTTTTTGGTCACTATGAACTATCATTGTATTGAAAGGAAATGTGAGAAGATACTGTAAAAATTCTGTATTTGTGTTGCATGGAAAAATAACAACGTATGGGTTTGGAACACATGAGGGTGAGTTAAAAATGACACAATTTTCATTCCTGGGTAAATTGTTCCTTTAATTATAGTTTGGTCGTGTATGCCATCCAGAAACTAGGATATTGCTCCAGAATGCAGATTTTTAGAGACTATTTGATCTAGGTGAAGTTTTGAAAATCCTTGTGAGTTGGACACAACAAGCAAATGTATTGAACTTTGTTTGTTTGTTTGTCTTTTCTAAGCACATATAAATGAATAGTAAAATATATTTTTTTCTTTTTCTCACGACATTATGAGTAACTCACTTATAAGCACATCTTTTCTAAAGTGGAGTCCTTAGGGTAAAATATACTGTGATGATGGATCTCTGAAGACGATGCCAAACAAAGCAGCTTTCAAGCTTAGTTTCAGCAGTCATTTTGTAGTGCTGGGCGGTATGACCAAAAATTTATATCACGGTATTTTTCAAAATCATACCGGTTTCACGGTACATGACAGTATTTTTTTTTTCATGCATGACCGGGTGTTAACCATATTTTCTACTGATTGAGAGAGGAAATACTGCAGTATATTGACTTGGAATGCCCTATTTTACTGTCATGATGAGTGAGTATAGCTGTGGCCTCACCACAGTGCACCAGTGAAAAGGGACCCCTTTCAAACAGTGTGGCGTTCCGAACGTTGTTTAAGTGACATATACCGGTATTGCGGTATTTTAAAAAGTCATATCATAACAAAAATAAACACCGGTATTCGGTATGAACCGGTATACCGCCCAGCACTATCATTTTGGTAGAATTCTGCTGTATGGGCTTTGAGGATTTGGGTAATAACCATGAGCTAACAAATAAATTCACCAAGAATCTGTCAGAGACTTGGTTAATTTAGTTGGTTAAAAGATGGTTTGACATGTTTTGAGCCTACCTGGCTCTGCTATTAAGGTTCCCTTGAGTTGTACGCTCATTATCAAGTGGATGCCATTAGTCTGAGTGGTGGGTGATAGACATATGGTTTGAATATACTGAGCTTTTGATTAAAGGAATTACTTCCTTAGTCCTATATAGGATTGAAATATCATCAACATTGTTTCTGCACAAATCCTCAGTAATGATTAATTTTGGTGAACTGTGCCAGCATCCACCAATCCTTCTCCTCCCACCCGATTTGATCGCCATGGTGATGGCACCCCACACTCTTGTAACCAAACATGTTATTCATTCCCAGGCCCTGGCCGTGGCCCGGTTCCCGGTTTTAGGAGAGCTTTCTCATGAGATGGGAGCACAAACAGGCACATGGAGATCCAAACGGTTTAATCACCAGTGCTATTAGGCCCCAGTCTTAAAATGGTCTGGCTGTGAGAACTCTCCACCCCACCCCACCCCACTAGTGGTCTTGGTTTCCCTTTATTCTATTGCAGTAAAGTTCTTTTGTTCACCTTCGTCTTTCTTCTTTCTTTAGGGTGTGGTCTGTTCTCAAACATGTCTGTTGCAAGCATCTGATCCCTGAGTTTTGTCAGGAGTGGGTGGTGGTTTGATTGACCTTGCTTATGTAAGCTTAATTAACTATGTTTAATTGGGTAAGAGTTTTAATCCTGTTCCAGAACATTTTTAATATGGAGCACACATAAATGCATCACTTAGTTTAAGGGTTTTTTTTTTGTAAGAATACTGGCTCATTGTTATGTCTGTGCTAGAAAATTTGGTTGTTTTTTAAAGTTTTGATTTATTTGTCAGAGCAATATTGTATGACTAACAGCAGTGCAGGAGTGATATCCAATTACATCTGCTATATACTTGAATAAAGAAAGCTGAAATCCCCCAAAACTAAAGCTTATTTAAGTAACACTTCCAATCACCAATAAAATATATACACTAATGTTCAAAAGTTTGGGGTTAGTAATATTTTAACATGTTTTAAAAAGAAGTCTCTTATGCTTGTCTAGGCTGTATTTATTTGATCAAAACAGTAAAACAGTGATATTGTAAAATATTACTACAAATTAAAAAAAAAAGTTTTCTATTTTAATATATATACATTTTTAAAATGTAACTTATTTGTGATGGCAAAGCTGAATTTTCTCCTGTCTTGAGTGTCACATGATCATTCAGAAGTCATTCTAATATTCTTATTTGGTGCTTATGAAACATTCCTAGAAAACTATTATATTATTATTATCGTTGTTATGAATGTTAAAAACAGTTTATGACTGATTAATAGAAAGTTTAAAAGAACAGCATTTATTTAAAATATAAATATTTTGTAACATTACAAATGTTTTGATTAATATATTTTGTCCTTACTGAGTTAAAGTATTTATTTCTTTCAAAACAAAAAAAAAGTAAAACTTTTTTAACAGTAGTGTATCTAATTTATGATGGTATCATGGATTTTATCATTATTTACATATATTTATATTTGTCATTATTTTTGCTAATACTTTTCCTCATCATTTTTCCACTCATAATTCCAGCCTGTAATGAGCAACAGAAACATTCTTATGGCTTTGAATGGAAAATAGAAATTAGGTCTGTCTCTCTCTTCACATTCCTCTATACTGGACAGTATGCCAGATGGTCCTGTCTGCTATTATCTTTAGGTGGAGTGTGTGTGGATAGGGGCCATGGGTACATATGGATGGCCAGCCACGCTCAATTTGTCTTGACAAAAGGTACAGCTAGTGCAAAAATCGGAGATCCTATCCGCAATCACTTCAGTCGTCGTGACACAGTTTTCCTGCAGGAACTTTTGGGCTGTGTCTGGTACAAATGCCTGATACAAAGGTCTCATTTGTGTGGCGGAGGGGAAGTTCAACAACAAACTGCCTTGCCTGTGTGTCACAGTTTATGAGCATAGACTAGCACAGTGATCTTCAAATCTGGCTCACGAGATCCACTTTCCTGCAGAGTTTAGCTCCAACCCTAATCAAACAAACTTACCTGTGATTTTCTAATGATCCTGAAGACATTGATTAGCAAACTCAGGAGTGTTTGATTAGGGATAGAGCTAAACTCTGCAGGAAAGTGGATCTCGCTAGCCAGATTTGAGGATCACTGGACTAGTGTAATAACTAGTTTTGACCTGATTTTTTTTTCCCAGTCAAGTGCGTCTCGGAGACAGCAGCGCATGATAAAGAACAGAGAGTCTGCCTCTCTCTCCCGGAAGAAGAAAAAGGAGTATTTGCTGACGCTGGAGGCCCGTCTGAAGGTGGCGCTGTCAGAGAACGAGAAGCTGATGAATGAAAACGGCACATTGAAAAGACAAGTGGAAGGCCTGATGAGTGAGGTTGGTGTCCATAATATCTACCTTGATCTCTTTGCAGGGTGTAATTTCAAGAACGATTTTAGATTATTAGCAGACCCACTTAAAGTCACCATGAAAATATCAAAAAATCGAAATGCATATTATAGACCTTTCATCACTCTTCTGGTAAAATGACATGTTAACATTCACTATCATTCCTTTTTTCTTAAGAACTCTGTGCTGAAAGCAACTGCGCCAAAACGGAGAGCTGTGTGTCTTATGGCAGTCCTGGTCTTCTTGGTCTTCAACTTGGGTCCAATGGGGTAAATAATTCTTTCATTTATTCCATTTCTGTATTTTAATTGGTCATTTATTGCTAAATGATTGCACTTTTAGATTGGTAAATGAATAGTCACATTAAATAATTTAAATGTCTATAAGAAAGTACTTGGTAGCACAAGGAAATGGTGGTCCTATTGGAAGGTTCCTTTTCTAAAGCCTGACTACAACCCATATGCATCTGTTTTGAAGGAACCAGAAGGAATGTGTTATATAAAGGTTTATTTAATATCCTGACTTGTTTTCTTTTGTTTCCTTTTCTGTCCCACCCAGTCTGCTTGGAGGAGACAGAGGGTCTACATTTCCTGCTGCCCCTGCGTTCAGTGGCAGACACCTGCTGGGCTTTTCCCCAGAGTCTGAGAGAAACCTGGTGTCAGACAGGCCTCAGACTGATCCCTCTAACCCTGTGAACAGGTAACACTATTCTGTAGTTTTCTACATTTGCCTAGTCATGCTCAATGCTCTGTGTTGGGCTGGAAACACCTGAGACTCTTACTTATCGAATCTTGCAGAGTCCATTTATGTTTTGGAAAACACGTCAGCACAGGTGCTGAGTGTCTCTGTCCAAATGCCTGTGTAAGAGAACAAGGCTCTTGTTCTGCCCCACACTAAGACTGGACAGCTAGCTAAGTTTGTTGTTTTATCTACCCAGGGCAGTGTTTTGAAAGGCAATACTGGTTTCTCATGTCCAAAAAAAATTGCTTATAGGAGTTAAAAAACCCACATGAAAAGACAGATATTTGAAGACATGATTACTTTTAAAACCTTTTAAAAGTCTGTTTTTTTTCTCAAAGACATTCATCAAGCAGGGTCTAGTCAAATTTGAGTTACTTCACTCCCAGGGGTCATATTTCAAACCTCCTGGGGCCTGGGTTAGGGAAGATCACCAGCGTTGCTAAGATTGTGAGAATTTTTTGGGGCTAAAACAGGTGGTGTTCCACAAGGCTCAATTTTTGGTTCATTTTTATTTCCTCGCCTTGTCCGTTACTCTCTAGTATTTCCATTTCTGCTGTGTTTTTTCCACTAACAACTGTTCCTACGCTGGACTAAAGTTTTCTACTCCAGCTTAAACTGTGTAATTAGTTCTTTGAAATACATCCTAGGGTTGGATTGTTTGAGATGGTTAGTCTTTTTAGCTATCTGGGGAGCAAAGCAGGAAATGAAATTATGTAATTCAGCACTGGAGAATGAATGAAAGCATATAGATTGAGATCCAGATGTTGTTTTTCCAAAGGGAGTTCATAAACACCTGCAAGAGTTTTAAAATCTCTTGCTCCTGTGTCATTCATCGGGATAATGTGTATCACATTCCTAAAAGGTTTTATCCTCAATTCGCCTGCATCCCAGTCTGAGTTTGGATCTGTGCAGAGACTGTTTCTCTAATAGCGCAGGGTTTGTCCTATGTAAAGTATTTTTATTGTTGAGCATTGAACATATTAAGAACAGTTTAGTCTGCTGTCTTAATATATTTCCGTCTTAAGCCCATAGAAAATAATCCAGACTTCCCACTCACTATTTCTGTGGGATGAGCTTCTCTATGTCAGCAAAGATTGTAAGGCTTAGATCCTGCTTCCCAGAGCTTCAGTGTCACTCATCCCCAGCCAGAAGTGCTTGAGATGTCATTTCAGAGCCCACATATTTCCTTGGCTATTGCATTGAACTGTAAATGACTATGTCAAGGAGATTTAGTATTTTGTTGTTCATGATGTCTTGGCTTTATTTTAAGCGCAATGTACCTGCACTAAGTGTGAACTTGTCACAAGTTGTTGGCGGTGTTCATTTATAGATTTTACAGATGCTGTCTTTTCCCGTAGACAAGATAAGAAAGAATTATCTTGGCTTGCACACTTCTACATGGTATTTTTTCAGATGTTAAGCCAGCAGTGCACCAAGAGATGATTAAAACAAGAGCCTTGTAAAATCCCTTACGTTGTCATGGAATTAAAACATCCTTATAAATATTCTGAGCCCACATTTTCCATTCTTTTCTTTGTTAACACTTTCCTGTCTTTAATGTTGTTTTTATTCTCTCTTTCTCATAGGTTAGAGGATGTGGTATCAGAGCAGAAGGCTCTGATGGTGGTGAAGGATCCTCTGTATTTCAGAACTCCACCCCCCTGCCAGCCACCTGTCAACAGGACCAAGTGCATGAAGTCAGTACTGAGCATGTTTTACATCAGTTGATATTACCCCACCCCTTTTGATATTCAGATGCTGTTTAATATAGATTTAATCGTGTTAGTACTATCTGGCAGTTCTGTGACAAGCCAGTTCTCCTCAGATTTAGATTGCAGAACATCTGGTCCTGAGTGCCCCATATTTGGCCAGTCTGATCTGATCTCAACCGAACCGAAAAGGAATTTTTATTACAATAGCCCTAAACAATAGCTCTGGTACATAAACATCTGAGCTCTGTTGTAATGACAGTAAAAGATAATTGTAGCAGTCTTTCGATCAACCAACATCCGTTAGACCGGCTTTTTATAAAACAGTTCCGCTCCTTAATTATGATTGGCTGAGCCATGTTTGAAGCTGTTATAAAAACTCTATAAACACACACCTGTGACCTCATTAATCAGTATCATGCACAAATGATTTGAATTATTGTTTTGCTTTTTAAAAAATTAATCCTTTTTTTGTTGCTGTGTGTTTTGTATGTAGTAACCATAGAACAGCTAAGAGACTGCAACAGCTTGTTTGAACTTTTTGCTTTAATACCAAACAGTATTTTTTTTTTATTATTCTCTTTGTTCTGTTTATTTATGATGTAGTTTGGTTGCAATTTCAAATCCAATGCAAAAATTCATTGACCATACCTTTTTTTATACTAAAATACACAGTTTAGGATGACATAATTCTTCATATTACCACCTGACATCTTATGAAATCTAAAGTGATGTTTCTGCTCTGCATAAGTATAGAATAGCACATGAGCTGAGGGGCTGGGTACATCGTCATGAGGTTGAGCGGACCAAAACCCGCCGCATGAGCAACACTCACCACAGAGGCAGAACCATCCTGGTATGACCTAACAACTTCTAGTTTCTCCTCCTTTAAAGCTGAATAGTTTTCTGAATTTATCACTCTTAATTTTTTTGCTTTCTTTCTGATATTGTTGATAATCCATCCTAAAAATTTAATCTGAAAACCAAATCAGATTTGTCTGAACTAGAGACACCTAAGTGTCTTGACATTGTCCAGTTCACTGACTGACGAGCCTTGTTTCTTTCTCTTTCAACTTAAACATGACATCTGTTTCGGTGTGGCTCAAGTGCAGACACTGGGTTGCATACCTCCAACCCAGATACAGGCAGCTGAGAACCACCAGGATATAACGCTGTTTATTTTCTTTAAATAGATCTTCTAAATGTTTACATTAGAGATGAGACCCCTCTCTCTGCACCCTCTCCTCTCACACTGGTCATCTCTTTCACTCCTTAGAGTGGGTTAAAAGTATAATCCAGTAGTCTTGGGAAAGTAAACAGCCCCCTACCCCAGTCTGCTCAGTCAATCTGTCTATTCTCTCTCAGACTAATTTCCTTTTTTTTTTTTCATTGCTAAACTGAGTCTGATTGTCTTCAAAACCACTGTCAGTAACTTTACTTGATTTGATTGTGTGTAGAAACCCTCACGGTTCTAAGCTTTAAAAGCCCTATATAGAAGTCAGCAGTCAACAGTTTCCACAATTAATATTATATATTAATGTTAATATTACAATACCGTTGAAAAATCTGAGGTTGGTAACATTTTTTTTTGTTTTTGAAGTCTCTTATTCTCACCAAGTCTGCATTTGTTTGATCAGAAATACAGTAAAAACTATAATATGCTGAAAAATTATTACAATTTAAAACAACTTTTGTTTGTTTTAATATATTTTAGCTGAATTTTCAGCAGCTCTTTCTCCAGTCTTCAGTGTCACATGATGTTTCAGAAATCATTGTGCTATGCTGATTCGATGCTCAAGAAACATTTCACATTATTATTATTAGTATTATCAATGATGAAAACAAATGTACTGCTTATAATTTTTGTGGAAACCATGATACGTTTTTTCAGGATTTTTGGATTAATGGAATGTTCAAAAGAACAACATTTCTTTGAAATCGTTAACATCTGTGTTAGTGACATTTACTGTCATTTTGATCAATATAATGTGTCCATGCTGAATATAAGTATACATTTTTCTTTAATTTTACTGACCTCAGACTATTAACAGTGGAATCACAATGGTGGGAAAAGATGAATGGGTTCAGTTTATTTGCTGTGTGTCTCCTGTGCGCAGAGGACAGAAAGTGCTGAATGCCATGACAACGGCACAATGAAGTTATCTACTTCTGTTTGTCCAGTTGTCCAGGCTCAGTCAAAGTGATTGATTAAACTCACATGAAAGGAGTGAAAGGAGACGAGGTGTTGTAAAAAGAATTGTCTTGAAATGTGTACAAAAATGTAATATTTATTTTATTTCCTAACCATACAACATATTTACTCCTGAAATGGTTACAAGTTATACCAACAGCCACAAATCAATGAGACAATATAAGCGCAGAGATTAGCTGCATGGATGAGGGTGGAGTAGCCTAGTGGTTTAAAGGGGTGGTTGATTGCGATTTCACTTTTTTAATGTTAGTTAGTGTGTAATGTTGCTGTTTGATCATAAACAATATCTGCAAAGTTACGAAGCTGAAAGTTCAATGCAAACGGAGATATCGTCTTTTAAAATTCTGGCAGTTTAATGCCTACAAAAACGACTGGTAAGGGACTACAACAAGTTACTTCCCGGGTCCGTTACCTCAAGAAAAAGTTATGAAGCTGAAAGTTCAATGCAAACGTAGATATCGTCTTTTAAAATTCTGGCAGTTTAATGCCTACAAAAACGACTGGTAAGGGACTACAACAAGTTACTTCCCGGGTCCGTTACCTCAAGAACCCAGAATTTTACATAAACCCCTCCGGGAACACGCAGCAAAGTTTAACACATGTTAGACTGCACCCCATAAACACAATCAAGCCTATAAAAAAAACAGTCAACCACCCCTTTAAGATCTGCACTGGAAGCTGAGGTTCAAATCCTAAAAGGGGTGATTCGTAATCTGTCACCATTGTGCACTTGAGCAAGACTCTTAACCGCACTGTTACTCTAGTCTAGAGAGCCTGTTCTTGTAAATGATCATGACTGCTTTCTATGGCATAACGTCGCATAAATGTTTAAGAAATTTCACCAGCTTGGGTTGCAGATTCTCCCCTCAAAACTGTATTAATAATTTTACATAAGAAATGAAGAACTACTAAACTAATTCCAGAAACCTTTCTTTAAGCCACATTCTGGCTTAATGTGAAGCTGTACGATTTATGCTGGCAGAATTAATCAGACTGTACTTGTTTGTATTAGTTCCTTATCATTTATTTTGATCAGATAACTAATAGTGAAAGCAGTTGGATGGACAGCTTGTTATGATTTAGAGAAGCATAATGTACAGCAAGTTGATTGTTTGAAAAGCTACTCTTGTGTTTGAAGGGTCTGCCTTATGTTGGGAAACTGCTCTGACAGACACAAGCTCACACATATCCACTGATAGCCATTTTCCACCAATAAGTTCCCATCACCCAATCTGGAACCCTTCCATGCGTTTCCACCACATTAAAGGCCTTCTGATCTGGAAAAATCTCGGGCACAGAAAACCTGGTAATCTTAAACAGGAACTTCTAACTCCAGAGAAATAATGTCCTCACCATAAACAACAACAACAACTCCACAACAAAAGCCACAATGTTTGCTTTCCATCATCAGGATTGAGCCACTCTGTAAATTCTGTCGTCATTCAGGGTGCTGAGATGTTGGGTGATTGAAGATGGATGGGTGTGTTGACAGATGGCAGTTTCCCAGATTCTGTACACTGTCAACACAGAGCACAGAACTAAACACAGTCTGATAGAGATGTTCTTTATCAGCATAACATACAATGACAGGAGCTCAAGTGCAGAGATATTAAAGCACGCACATTGAGACACAGGGAAATATGCATGAGCTCATATTTGCTTTTATAATTTGGTAAAAGAAAGTTAAGTTTTTATTTTCTTTGTCCAACAGAAAGCAGCAGATAAACAGGCTGAGGTACCACAGATCATGACACAGATCCAGTACACAGATTCCTCTGAAAAGTAAGTTGTGTGAAGAATTCATTTGACATCATTCAGGCCAAACAGCATATTATTTAGTCCCTGTCATTGTGGTATTATATGAGTGTCAGTCGTCAGTTCTTGAGTCTGCAGTGTTGTATCAGTGCTATATAGCCTTTTTCATGGGGTATTTGCTCAAAAACTGTTAAAAATATATTTTTGTCCTTTTATTTGTAATGTAAACTTTGTGTAAATGTTGTAATATTCACTAATGTGCATTCTGAGAAATGGTCTCTGGACAGTTTGAATTTACGTGTTACAAGACAACACAGTGAAGTTTGAACCCCAATTCATGATCTGCCAAAGTAGGTGGTAGATTTGGCAGAATTTTGAAGAGTGTAGAGGTACAGAATTCTGTCCCAGCTTTTTTTTCCTTTTTTTTAAGGTAATTTTTCAAAGCTGTCGTCAAGTCCAGTCATGCTTGAGGGGAATTTCAAACTATGCCACACATAATTAGATTTCTTTTTTTGCTGGTCTTTTTGTGCACAATCATCCAAGAATACATTTTTTATTCATTTTTTTTATTCATAATCTTTCATAATGAAGCGATTTAACCCATAGCCAAATTGCTATTTAGGCATTGTTTTAAGCTATTGTTGCAGGTTATTCAGTCTTTAATATAAAATTTTGCCAGTAGTTAACCCAATAAATACGAGATGTTCTCAAGGGTGAAACTGATACCAAGTCATGTCCCAGTCAAATAGCCACCCTGCAAGTGGATGCTGGTGTGTTTTAAGAGAGGAGACCTCCACAAAGGACTACAAACTGCCTTTTGAAACGCCCACTTTTCAGAGGCCTATCAATTCCAGATGCATAAAATCAAGTCACTTGGAAATGTCACATTACAGTACAATGAGTTATGAATGCCAATTCTGTTGACTTAAAATCTATCCTGGCTTATTGGGAAAAAAAACCTGTTTTTACACCTGACAGACATATCCTCCTACATGGTTTTTTTGTTTGTTTTATCTTTTTATTTTGTTTTTTTGTGTGGGCCACTTGCTCTCCCTCAGGGTAAATCATATTTTTGGCTGCTGTAGTTTGGCTGACCTCAGCAGTGCATTGGACCAAAAATCAACATGGCTGTCATTCCATTGCTTCACACTGACAACAGAGGAAAGGCCACATTCACACAGGAAAGAAAGTGTCTTATCAAGAGATTCGTGAGAACTGTAATTAGACTTTTCGCTTGCTCTAAGTTGCATGGTATTTTATTACAATAGGTAAACTAAATACAGTTTTTTTTTTAAATGAAAATAAGCAGCGTGTATAACATTTCCTATTCAGTTCATGTTTTTACCTGCAGTAATAACATTAAAACATGCACAGGCAGTTGTTATGGCAAAATGTAAATCAGAGTTTAAAGTGTTTTCATATCCTGTATGCAGGATTCCCAGCAGCGAGCTGCAGGTGTATTACGCCCCTCACCGCACCTACAATGACTTCTTTGATGAACTCAACAGAAGAGGGGACACATTCTATGTGATCTCTTTCCGCCGGGTAAGTGGACCTCCACATCCATCTGCCTATCTGTCTGTTCGTCCATCTGTCTCCTTTCCATCGGCCTGTGGCCACACATGGATGTGGTTAATTGGTTTTAGAGCCCACACAGCATCATAAAGGGACACTTGAGACTCTTCCAACTTAATGGCATGTCAGAGAATCTTCTAGCATGTGTCCCTAGATCTTGGGAGGTCTTTATAAACTTCTGTTTTTTTTCAGTTTCTAAACGATCATTCTTGTTTGAAATAAAGCACACTGTGGTTGTTGTAATGCCACCTCACTAGTATTTGGTATGTTTCTGTGATATTGAAATGAATATATACAACTTAGTAAGCTGATCTGTGTGTTGTTTTTTTTTTTAACTATATAAAGTTGAATACAAATTAAATATATTTCACTAATTATGCTGTACACTAGCATTCAAAGGTGTGGGGGCAATAACAAATTAATATTTTTATTCAGCAAGGATGCATGAAATTGGTCCAAAGAGACAGACGTGTAATTTTGAAAAAAAAAAAAAAAAATATTTGAAATAAATGCTGTTCTTTTGAACTTGAAACCTAAAAAATGCATCACTATTTCCACAAAAATATTAAGCAGTTACTACTGTTTTCAACATTGATGATAATAAAACATTTCTTGAGCAGCAAAACAGCATATTACAATAATTTCGGAACAATCGTTTGACACTGAAGCCTGGAATGATGACTGATGAAAATTCAGCTTTACCATCACATGAATAATTTTGAGCAGTCTAATGCTATATTTTTTAAATGATTATTTTTAGTTTTTGTTTGTTTTGGTATAAAATGGCTCTATCAGCCTGTGTTGACACATAAAACAGTTAGGAACTGTAACCAGCAATATCATCAAAGTTTAACGTTTTAATTGTTAAAGTATTGCAGCTGTGTTGTGAATTTGACTGTGAAATGTGCTACAAATGTGCCTTTCCTATTACATTTTGCAATAAATTTTAACTACCATCCCTCTCAGTCTGGTATTCCAGTCTGGCATTTATGATTCAGTGGCATAGAATCATCAAAATCTATTTAAGATTTGTTTGAGGCTATATAGATCAACTAAACAAGACTTTTTGTTTGTTCTTCGCAACATTTCATGGGCACATGCTGTAACCACTTTTCTGGACATTGTCAGATTCACCCACCCCTAAACGTCACATACAAAAAGTGAGCTGTGATTTGGTTGTTTTAGTTTTTTTTTTTAGCTAGTTTTCATCTTTGTAATAGGCGAAAAGACTTAATCAGCTAAGAGTTATTCAGATGATTCAGGCCTAATATTTGTGCACATGTACATGATCTCAAGCTGGGTGTCATTCATTTGGAGTCAGAGTGTATTTGTAGTAATCTGGTCATTTATTTCTGTTTCAGTCTAATTGCATGTCATCTTTCATCAGTTCCTTCCTTATTCCTTGTATGTTTAAAGATGTTTTTTTTTTCATACCCTCAGTACCTGCTTTTGATTATTCACTCAGAAGATGTGAATAATGTTGGCCTACATATTTGAAAAATAATCTTTTAATCTCTTTTGTTACAAAGGGAATGGTGGGCGGGCGTATCCGTGTTCAGACGAATCGCAGTGGCCCAAAGCAAAATTAGCACACTGAAACATTTCAGCAGTTTGCATGGGATGTGACAGTAGATGTTGATTTTTTTTTGTAATGGCGAACAGGTCTCCACTTCTCTTTTTTTCGTGAAACTAAAGCAAAGAAATGACTCATCAAGTCGATGACTCATAATCAGAAAATAAAGATGTTTTGTGGATGCTAAGGACTGTTTTGCCAACTACTTTTTTTTCCAAACTAAACTTGATTTAAAGACTGAAAAATCAAAGTTGTCATTGTTTTTAGTTTTCATTAATCTCAGCCCAAAAAATGAGCTCCATCATACACGAGTTGAGCCAGAAGATGTTTGATCGGTTTAGTCATATTGAGACACTGCCCTGTTATTTCTCTAGGTTTATTCAGTCTTTTGGGAAGTTAAACTTTCACAATATTGACTCCGCTTCTCCAGAAACCTCCTCAAATGGTGACCTCCATTAAAGAACCTAAAAAAGGTTAAAGCCTAACCCATCAGGTTGCAATTCTGGCCATCTAAAACTCAAATGCATTAACTTTATAAAATAAAAAATAAATAAAAAAAGGTGGGGGGGGTTTGTTTTTGCTTTTCCCTAATGTTGCATTTCTAATGATGCACAGGACCTGGGGTTCACGATGAAGTTTTCTTTTGAAGAAAGAAAAAATGTATTGGAGAAAACCACAGGAGTACAATATATTAGCATTAGTATTACACTTAAAAATGGATAGCTCAACCAAAAATTAAAAGTGTCACCTACCTTTACTGATATACAAAAGAAAAAAATAATAATTATGAGTTCAAATAACATGTGTTAGTAAATAAAACATTATTTTTGGTTGAACCAGTCCTTCAAATTGAGCTAGACCACTCAGCATTTGAAGTGTCACCAGTCTAAATCTTCATTCTACTCTCTGGACTATTGCTAAACAGTGCCTGTTGATCTTTGGCTTGTTAAATGAGGCCTCTTCTGATTGTCTTAAAGAATGTTACTTACAGTGGAGACCATTTTTAAATAAAGGATTAAAGTGTTTGTTAATGGCTTTAGTTAGAAATGAGAACAGAAAGAATGTGGAAATTCATTTGATATATTTTTCTTCATTTTTAATTTCAAAATGTGTTTATTTTGTTTCCTAGGTTTATGGGCATGTGTCTCTGAGATTTTGCTTGTCCTGTTTTGTTTGTCTTTTCTCCCCTTCATGTGCAGTGAGCCCTCCATCTCTTTCTGGACTGTGTTTGCAACTTAATAGTGTTTATTTCATTGTTCCATTGAATCAAGCTCTCTGATCTCCCAGAGTTGCTGCAAACTTTCAAACTGCCCTGGGGATGTTTCCATTGTCATCCTCATGTAAGCCAATCATAATATCCTCTGATTGTAGCTCCCTTTGAGCCTATCACACTTTAGAGTTGGCGGGAATTTCATATCTATCTGATTAGATTGGTATAACTCATTCCTTTCTCCACAGTCACTTGCCCTTTCACTCTTTATGTCTCTCTTCCACCTTTCCTCTGGAGGATATTGAATCATAGAATTGCACCCACAGGTTTCAGAGATGTTCCACGTCACCTGCTGGACACAAAGAAAGAATTTGGCCACTGCTCTTCCTAAAAGACCTCATTGTCATAATCTAGTCTAGAGAACCACAGAGGTTTGGGGAAGAGGAAGAATAAGCCAGAATAAGGTGTAACACAAATGTAATAATCTTTGTGAAATGAATTTGATATTAATATTTGATATGACAAGCACATCTTTTTAATCAGGAACAGAACTGAACACCCAAAAGTGAAAATTTTTGTCTTCATTTACTTCTGTCTTAAATCAGCAGAAATCAGCAAAAAGTAATATCTTCCTCAGTATTTTTGAAACTGAGTTAGGTTTTTAGCCCATTTTTAGTCCTATCTGTTCTTGTTTTAGTAAAACTCACTTCATTTTGATCAAATTCTCAGATAATAAGACTTCTTGTGTCATTTTGCTTCTCAATATCATGAACGATCACATCATGACATTTTTAAAAAAGTCATAAAAATCATTCAGAAGTAATGTTGTTCTTCCGTTCTTGATGTTGCTCCAGTACAAATATCTGGAAACAACTTAAAGGGTTAGTTCACCCAAAAATTAAAATTAGCCCATAAATTACTCACCCTCAAGTCATCCTAGGTGTATATGACTTTCTTCTTTCAGACGAATCCATCTCACACGGCTCCGGGGGGTGAATAAAGGCCTCCTGTAGCGAATCGATGCGTTTTTGTAAGAAAAAAATCCATATTCACTTTAATCTAGCTAGCGCTCACTGTTGTACACTGGAAACAGTTCCGGGCGGATGATCTGTGGAGGTCAGTGTTGCGCATGCGCCGGTGAGTCTCGTGAAAACCAACGTTTGTTAACAGGAGCAAAGGAAGCAAAGTTTCCTTACTTTAGCAAAGGAAAACCAGTCTCCTCTTGGCTTATATCGAAATCCTCCGACATTCTTCTTTACAAATCCTCGTTTTGTACTTCTAATTAGTGACCGTTGTTTTGTTTTGATCTCTCCGCTGCGTTTCCGCGTGCGTCACTTCTGAGCGGCGCATGCACAAAGCCGACCTCCATCAGTCATCTAAATCAAAATGTTTGTTTTAAGAATCTTTAGACATTTATACTGGAAAACAAGACAAAAATACTAAAGAACAACATTACTTTCTTGCAGTGTTATCAAAAAGTATTTATTTATTTATTTTACTGGTTGGGAGCAAGTATTAAACCTTAAGCTAAAAAGTAATGGACAAAAAAAGTTTTGCTAATACAACTCATTGTGTACTCCTTAGACATTTACATTTAAAGAATATGTTAATGTATTGTGTTGCCTTCAAATTGTTCCTTTAGTTTTTTTTGTTCTTGGTCTCAAAACGGTCTTAAAAATCCCATATCATCATGTTGTTCCGAAACGGTTAAAAGGGCAATTTTAATGAATGGGGAGCTCAACTCAAGAATAGGAATCAATTAAAGAATGAAAATAAGGATTTGGAATGGCATGAAGATGAATAATTAATGAGAGAATTTTAATTTTGGGGTAAACTATTTGAGTCCCATTGTGAATTCAATTTCCTGCACATCTTTCAGATGGTATTAAGCACAAACACATTTACTGAAGTCTACATGATTCGAGACATCACAAATCCATGACCCATTTCCCATCCATCACACAGACATTATAATAACAATGTTATTACAGTCTCCAGCTCGTGGGCTTTCCTTTCCGTATGGTTTCTGTCTTCAACTGGTGTGTGTTCTGACAGGACAACGTCTCCAATTGGTACCGAGTTGGACTAACAGAGACACATTTCTGACCTGATTATAGAAGTGTTGCATGACACTTTCTAGGTCTTCAAATGATAGTTCGCTTGCACTGAAAGAAACTGGCTGCTTTCTTTAGCAAATGTTAAGTGTACAGTGCTGCTTGAAAGTTTGTGAACCCTTTAGAATTTTCTATATTTCTGCAAAAATATGACCCAAAACATCATCAGATTTTCACGCAAGTCCTGAAAGTTGACTATCAGGTGTCAGTGTGTGCCCTGTTTTATTTAAAGAACAGGGATCTATCAAAGTTTGGTCATGTTTGTGGAAGTGTATCATGGCACAAACAAATGAGATCTCTGAGGACCTCAGAAAAAGAGTTTGTGTTGCTCATCAGGCTAGAAAAGGTTTCAAAGCCATCTCTAAAGAGTTTAGACCCCACCAATTCACAGACAGATTGTGTACAAATGGAGGAAATTCAAGACCACTGTTACCCTCCCTAGGAGTGGTCGACCAACAAAGAACACTCTTAAAAGCAAGACGTGTAAAAGTCCAGGTTTCAAAGGACTGCAGGCTAACTTCTAAGCAACTAAAGGCCTTTCTCACATTGGCTAATGTTAATGTTTATGAGTCCATCATCAGGAGAACACTCTTTTTTAAAAATTGTCATTTTAAGTTGTAACAATATTTCACAATATTATGTTTTTTTTACAGTTTTTTGTTTTATTAAAAGCATTAAAATAAATTACAAATTGATGCTTCAGACTTCTTAAACTGTGACCAGAGCAATTTAGCAATGTCCTCAGCAATGTAACAAACTCTCCTCATGCATGTGTTTTTGTGGCTGGCTGATGGCTGTTCCTCTTTTGCTTACAGGATCACCTCCTCCTTCCCGCCACCAACCACAACAAAGGCAGCCGCCCCAAGATGTCCGTGGTCCTGCCAGCTATTAATTACAATGGTAAGAGAAAAGAATCGTGAATGATCTTATTTTCTAATGAACTGTCATCTAATACTAATAAGAATAATCATTCCTTAAATTTATATTAAATCTATATTGTGTTGTTTTTGGTCTTGTATTAATCTAGATCCTTTGCTGTAAGTGGCGATATTGCATATTCTGTTCATTTTTCATAAAATTAGAATTGAATCAAAAAAAGAAACGCATCTGTATATGACTTTCATACAGGATATTTTTTGCAGTGTGTCTAGGCAATTATTAACTGTTTTTTATTAACTCTTATTAACTGTATCACTGTTTTTTTTAGCATGTCACTCAGTGAGCACTGCTTTTTTAAGTTGGCTTGTCAGATTAACAGTAGTTAAACTTGGAAGAAGAAAAAAACATGTTTTGACTGGCAACATAGATTTTAGTTTACATTTCAACACTATATGAAAACCACCATAGCCCAGACTTGCCCTGCTATTAGACCATTGCAGTTTATGCCTGTGTGCTAATGAGATCACAGTCAAATCCCTGTCTTTAATACTAGGATGGTGTCTCCACTCACAGCAGGCCTGCAGCCTCTGATTACAAAACTACTGGGTGAGAATGTTCCACTCAGAGCCCTGACATGGGACCAGCACAAAAGAGCTCCCAGAGTTAATGACATATTAATGAGCCCTGCAGGAGATTGGTTTGAGTTCTGGCATTTGATTGATTTATGTAGTTTTTGCATATTCATTTATTCATTGTCATAATATCATTCTTTAATTTATATTTATATGATGTTAAATTATAAAAAGTATAAAATTAATATGAAATATTGTGTATACACACATATTTGAAAATGTGTATACACATATTTGTTCATATATATATACAATATATATATAATTTTATATATGTAATTTGGTTAAGACAAGGGATTCTTGTACGCTCTTATGAAAGTCAAAGAGAGAACTGTTTTAAAATTGTATGGTGTCTAATCATTTCTGTAAATATTCCATTCTTTTTATTATTACATTTCTTTCCTTTAATTTCTTGGATGTGGTCACAGTATCAGATTAGCCCGTACTGATCTCAGGAATGGAAACGTGATAAACTGACCTTGCAGTGTGGACAGGCTTTTGTGAAGGATGTTTTGTTAAGCCGTTTTGAAAGAGAATATTGATAGAAGTATAGTCAGTATCATTCCTACTATGATTTGAGTGCTTGAGAAACAGTTTGTGCATATATCAGGACAAATGCCCCTAACTTTTAGTAGTTATCTCAGTTGCTTATTGAAGTCTCTCTTCTAGTGTAAGCAATCATGAGACTAATCACAGACACAAGGATAGATTGCAAACCTGTTTAAATACAGTTTGAAATCTTTCCGACCAGTCATCAGGTGTGCGAACTGTTCCAACGAGCTAGAGAGCCACAGCTGATGAAATTGTCAGAAAGAGAAGTTTTGGGAAGCAGGGCTAAAAAAATCTTCAAAAAAATGAGGGCGTGTGCATGTTTTTAATGGCAAGAATAAACATTCCAGTTGCTATGTGCGTGAGTTTGTGAGAGAATGTGATGTCTGGGAAGAGCTTGATCTTGTAATTGACGCACATAGTCTGAGATTAATTGTGCAGTTTGCACACCAGCTCAAAAGAAAACAGGAAACCTGCCATATCATAGACTTAAATTGTTTATGAAACCTAAGTCGAAGTATTCTCTCTTGAGGATGGCCAAGCATGGTGTACTCTGAATCAGTTTTTTCTGGCTCCATCCTGTGTTGATTTAAAAATGCATGTTCAAAGTTGGGTTTCACGTGGTTTTATTAAGAGAACAACTTTTGGACAACTCAGAACAGAAGTCTAGTTTGTGAAATTGCCTCTATCTGATTCTGTTCTGTTCTACACGCTCAAGTGTGTGTGTTTGGGTCAGGGTGTTTTTCACCACATGTGATGCAGGGATGGAGGAGAAACTTTTCTGTTATTCATCATCTATCTTGAAAACAACATGAATAACAAAACAAAAAACATTTTTCTCCATCAATTTCATGTTTGGTTTGGAAACTATTGTTGCAGTGCCTGGCAGTGTTAGTACATATATAATCTGGTCTTTCTTCACTATCTTCCCTGTGGGAGTTTTGAGTCAGCATTATAATCGTTTGTGAATGTTGGAGATGATGATCATCATCATATTCCCTTTTCTTTGTTTGTTTGTGCACTGCACACATTTCGAAGTCATATCATGAACATTTTTACTCTGCAGTCACAGGCATTGCTTTATAGTAAAAAGCCTAGTAAAAAAGCCTAATTCAGGAAAGTTCAGCCAAAAATTTTAATTTTCTCATTTACTCTCCCCAAATGGACACAAAAAGAGACTTTATGTCCAGTTCATAGTGACATACAACAAAATACTACTTGTGCATTATATTCCAAGTCTTTTGAAGTCATAGTATGGCTTTTTTTGCTGAAAAGATATATATTTACTCAATCTTTTTATCCAGTGAGACGTTAACTCAAGAACCACTGATCATTGAGTCAGTTCAATTTGAGAACCAAATCAGTGAACAATTAATTGTTTTAAGACGGTTCTTTTTATTAATGACCTGGTTCGTCTGGTTCATGAATTGGACAGAACGATTCATATCAAATCAGAGTTCAACTCACTGAGTTCAACTGTTCTCGATTTATATTTCGTCAATTTTTTTTGGTTTCATTTTGCTTCTGGGCGAACTGTTCATCTTAAACTATCAGTTATGGGGGAAAGTGAGTTTGGCTGGAATCTCAACGGTTCACAACCACAACCTCATCAGGAATTTACCCTTGAGTCCACATGTTGCCTTAATCAGTATTTTAAATGGTGTTTGGAAAGTCAGGCACAGTACCAGACATATCCAATGGGAATTCACCTAACGAAAAGCCTTCTGTGAGAATGGAAAATGACATTTCTGACATATTGGAAACTTAGTATATATATAGGATGGAAAAGATTGTATTTTAATATGCGATGACGTGTACAGCTCAGCAGTTCAGTGTCATTTTAGTGCTTGCAGTTTAATACAGTGAGATGATTGCTGTAACCCATCATCTATGATGATTTCTGCAGCACTGCTAAGTTTTTTTTTTAAGCACCTGTGAAAATACGCATTGTGTGAGATGATATTGAGGCTTTATCCCATAACATTGACTGTTCAGTGGTGGTAGCAGAGATAGATGGAAAGATTTTGGTTTCAGGAACACGTCAGAAAGACTCGTAGAGTTAGGTTTACTGTAAATCACCCGTTTTGAGATCATCATTGTGGGTGTGCAGCTGAAGAGCTCGTCAAGAACGATCGAGTGTAGAATGCGTAAATGTATTCACCAGTAAGGGCTGGAAAAGTGTTTTAAATTGACCTACCGTGATGCTCTTCAGCCTATAAAGCTTTTATCAGTGCTGGAGCGAATCGCACAAGTCTGCTGTAAAAGTTACTTTCCTGCAGCCCATATGCTGTGCATGTATGTGAAGCGCTCTCTCGTCTTCTCTGGTATAGAGAGCTGTCCTTATGGAAGATAGACCGTAGAACAGCTGTAGTGAGTGTAAACCATCATGCCTTTAATGGTTCCTTACAAAATTCTCATTGCTTGTGTTTGACGAGCGCTTTTATGAGTTTGTCAGAACACGGGGGGAAAAAAGTCACGGCCTGACCTTCACTTCCAGAGATAAAGAATGATGGGGCGTCCCACCCTGTCAGTAAAACTGAAGCTTGATCTGTATTGCTTACGTATTTTAGAACACAGCCTCATTTGAATGAATCGGATAGAAATCTGGTACTTAAGTACTTGATGTGTAAATGTGCTATCGCCTGTTAACTCTTGTATGATATGGGTTAGAAAAATCATAGAAATTAGTCAAATGTTTAAACATTTGGGGTTGGTAAGATTTTTTTAAAGTTCACCAAAGCTATATTTATTTAATCAAGTGCAGTACAATAGTCATATTGTGAAATATTATTACAATTTAAAATAACTATCTTCTATTTTCATATATTGTAAAATGTAATTTATTCCTGTGATGGCAAAGCATCATTACTCCAGTCTTCAGTGTCACATGATCATTCTAATATGCTGAATTGTTGCCTTAAGTAATATTTCTCATTATTATCAATGTTAAAAACAGTTGCTGCTTAATATTTTTGTGGAAACCGTGATACTTTTTTGTGAGTCTTTGATGTATAGAAAGTTCAAAGAACAGCAAATATTTGAAATAGAAATCTTTTGTAACATTATAAATGTCTTTACTGTCACTTTTGATCAATTTAATGCAATCTTGCTGAATAACAGTATTACATTTAAAAAATCTTACTGACCTCAAACTTTTGAACGGTAGTGTACCTTTCCTTAACCCCATTTTCTTTCATGTGGGAGTCATCATCTGTTGTGTTTACTACTAGGTGAAAATAAAGGCCAGCATGACCTCAATGAACCCTTTGTGGGAAAGGAGCCCCTAAAATGCCTCTTAACCTCCTCAGGCCACCCTGCACATCACCTGCATTTCTTTAACAATTACTTCCACACAGAGCTGAGCACCAAGTGCTATTTTCTATGATTATTTGTATTTTCTTTGCTAATACAATTATTTTTCTGTCTCACTGCAGAGAGCATCCTAAAAGACAAAGAGTTTGAGGTGATGATGCAGATCGACTGTGAGGTCATGGACACCAGGATCCTCCACATCAAGTCGTCTACTATTCCACCCATCTTGCGGGTCAATCAGACAGACACAGACTCTTTCTATCACGCGGCCCCCACCAACAACCAGCCTGTGGCACCCGTTGGAGTCCTCATGGGTTCTTCTTAGTCTCAGCTATCCACTAACCACAAAAGTTGCTAATCTATTTTGTTACATAATAAGCATTTTGTGTTCATTTTTGTGACTCTTCTTATTCGAGTGGCAAACCAGGATCTTGGTAATCAACTACCAAATTCCCAAGATAATCAACAATAGTCAACAATTCCTCTTGAAGGCACCTCTTCAAAATGCATCAAGTGAGCCATTAAATACTGATAAACCATTCAATCCAGATTACAGTCTTTATTCCAGGCTATTGATTTCAGCAACTACTTTTATACATGTCATCAGAGGCATTTATATTTATGTACGCTTTATACAAAGTGACTTCAAGCACATTCCAGATATACCTATCTTTTCAGTTTGTTTGTGCTCTACCAGCTTGAACTACAGGAGCATTCATTGTCGAAATCTCCCAAACCAAACTGCGTTCTTGTTTGATTATCGAACCGTTCGCTGCTATATGTGGTAGCAGTCAGGAAACCGTCTTAGAGTCTTTGATTTTGTTTGCATTGTGCTTGTTTTGTTTATGAAATTAATTCAAATAAATATTTATGAAGATTTATTATTTGTACCAAACTTGTTTGGTACGTATTTAATGGTTATATTCAGCAACATATTCTTCAATACCACTATCCTCAAACAACCTGCATTGCCAGTGAGTTTTGCTTTTTTGTTTTTTTTGTTTTTGTTTTTCTTTCTCATTTCTGTTTTTTTTCTTTGCTTTTTGTTTGACATTGTAATTGAATATAAAAGTAGAAAAATTGATTATTTACTCTGGAGTCAGTGAAGGAGGCATTTTGTATAATTGACTTGCAGGATTCAGGACAGTGCTGTAAATATATATCCGAAAAAATAAGATATTTTAAAGTATCTAGATAATAATTCTACTTTATACTTGTTCTTTGAAGGTTAATCATTTTAGACTAATTCTAATTGAAATAGCAGTTTGGGGTTGGGGGTCTTATGCAACATCTGTCAGTTCTTTTTAATGTGTTTCATGCCCTCATGTTTTTTTATTGGCTTAATTGAACTTTAAATTAGGTGTGCTTGACATAATTACAGCTGTTAACATAATACTGGTTGTTAATTTGAAGGCGTGGAAGAGACAAAATATTCATGTTAATTTGTACCTCATCTGTCTTTGTTCACTGTGTTTGTCTCTATTATTCTAGCCTATTTAGATGTGTGCTTGTTTCTTGTCCTGTTTAGGATGCTGTCGTCAGTTCTCACTCGAAAGCAACGTGATCATTAGCTTGTTCTTTCCAACCTGTCGTCACTGTCAAAGAAGCATTCACTTTCATAGACAGACTGAATATGAAAATACAATTTGAATTTCACAGATTATTAACTTAACTCAGGCGGTGCTTTGTTCTCAAAATGAGGATGATATATTAAAGTATTTAGTTAGAGAAAATATCACATTTCGTTCTTAGCATTGCAATAGAAATGTCTCATGTTTATAAATGAAAGTTATTTTTCATCAAATCCCTTTTTCAACATTTTTATTTTTAATATGTTTAATTTCTGCATTTTTGGAAAGATTTTTTTGTTTGTTCTCACAGTGACAGCGATGTTTTGTAACAACGCAAAGAAATAAACACTGGACTCAGGGTTGTGGGTGATTTGTGTGCATCTTTTGTTTTTAGGACGCAGACAGTCTTATGTCAGTCTGAATTTGCTCTCTGAAATTGAAGGTTTGTGTAAATGTGGGGTCTGAGGTGCTGTAAAGTGCTGCTGATTATAGGTAATTTCAAAGGTTGGGGTAAACAATGTTTTCGGGTTAAACTATAGTAGATGTGTTTTGTTTGTCCAGATTTAGCTCTGTGGATCAAGGGGTTTACAGTGTAACACTTTGCTCTCATCTACAGTAAGTGACCAATGAGAAGGCCTGTGCTGAGAACACACTCTCACTTGACATCCACTACGAAAGCAAAACCAGTGCCATATGTCTTATTTCAACTCATTTTATTGCAGCCATTTTCTGAGTCTGACAGAGATTTGAATGTCATAAGTGCTAAAAGAGTCTCAAATGAAATTGCAAAAAATATGCACAGAACGATTACAAACGGTACTGAAATGTATAAAATGTGCTGATGAAAAACAACACAATGAAAATGTGCCCAAAACACTTGTCTACTCTTGTTTTACTGAAATTATACAATTTCAAACTTTATTTTTTTTTATATGCAAGTGATAGTTGTTAAAAAAGATGTTTATGAAAATACAAATTGTATTTTTTACATTCATCAATCCCATGTTTTAGCTTTTATATTACAGTATATACAATGTATTCTAATGGATTTAAGAATACAACACCTCAACTATAATTCTGCCAGCCTTACGAGAGGTATAGCTATACACACAAAGAGGTTCGTTTCCATAGTGCATAAGCAAGCAACAATATCTAAAGACATGGCCAATAATGAAAACTGCAAAGCTCATATAGGCTAGCTGCAGTGTTGGGGTGTTAAGAAATTCAGTTAAGAAAATTGCTTTGCTTTGTTTTCACCATAAATGCAATGATAATAGGTCCATTTTTACACTATGAAAACATAACAGCATATTAATAAGTACATTAAACTACATGAAGTTAAGAAAAGCTGAGTGAACTGATCCACAATCCACTTGAACACATTTACGGTTTCTTCTATTTTGTGCAAAGGATGTACTTGCTCTGCCGTTAGGGTCTACAGTGGGTCTACATATGCAAACTGAATATTATAAGTGACCTGATGTCCATTATCCCAGGTGTACAACACCCTCTCTTTGGGATTGTAATCGATCTGAGTGATGTAAGTATAGTTGTTGCTGAAAGGCAGGTGAGGGATCACCTGAGTGTTGGTGTGGGTGTCAAAGGCATAGGACAAATTGATGTCGTGCTGATTGTAGCTATCCGTCGCGTAAAGAACGCCACATACGATGAAGCAATTACCGTAATGATTGCGCCGGAGCCCGGTCCTCCATGTGGTTTCACGCTTCATGCTTAAATCATTGGGGTTCAGGCGGCTCAAGACGATCATTTCCTGCAAGAAGCCCTCGTCGTCCAGCGCTGGGTAGATCACCCAAAGCCCGCTTTCGTCGACGGCCAGATCCATGTCCGAGTTTCCTCTCCATCTCCACGCAGACACGTCGTCATTATCAAACACTGCATCATAGAGCATGGTCCAGGCAGCCACATAACGCAACCGCAGGTCATACTTAATAATGTCTCGAGAGAATGCGCGGTTGTAGTAGAAAGCGCCATTGTAGACCACGTGGCCAGTGCCGATCCAGTTATAAGGCAGCTTGTAGGAATTAGTGAAGCGGCCTTGAATGAAAGAAAGAAAACAAAACAAGTCAAATGACTAGAAAAATTGCTTTAATGTTCCGAGTTTGTTTATTTGAATTAAAGAGCGATACCTTGTTTGAAAACATCCATGTTGCGGAATTCCAGTAGGTTGTTGCCGTAATAATAGTTTGTGACATAGACCTTGTCATCTTGAGCCAGTGGATCCTTCATCCAAGCGCCCTCGTTACGACCGTATGTATTGTGTGTGACGGGCTCTGAGATTGTGGCCAAGGTGTCCTTACACATTCCTGCAAACAAAACCAGAATTAAAACCACAGTTATGTTGGTGTTTTTAATCAGTTTTGTGCTAAACAATGCAGAGTATTCTTCATCCCATTCTGAATATATATATATAATTAATAATTGTAATTATTACTTTTACTTTCAGAAATTAATTGGTACAATTATTTTAAAAAATAATATTTAAAAATATTAATACTCACAATTTTATATGTGTGTGTGTGTAACTGTAATTATTATATATGGAATTTTTAAATAACCGTACAGAATAAAATTGAAATCAGCACTTCCAAAAAAAAAAGAGGAAAATAAATAACAAGAACATAATAAATCTATACCTGACTTCCTTTGAGGTTCCTCTCCCACACTGTCTTCCACCATAGTTTTTACAGCTTTCACTCCTTCCATTTCCTCCTCTACCACTACCTCTTCCTCTTCATCCCAGTTTATGCTATATTTGCGTTTGCCAGGTTTGCTTGTGGTTGTAGTTGTTGTTGTTGTGGTAGTTTTTGTAGTGGTCATCAAAGATGGCACTGAGGTTAATGTCTGTTTAGGAGTCATCTTGGGTAAGTAGGTAACTGAGTCTGCCTTGCTTTCAGTGACATGAGGTGACGTCACAATGGTGGTAGCAGCTCTTGTGTGAGCAGTTGATCCCAGTGAGCTTTCTGTGACTGTTAAAGTGTCCAAATGAGGAGTTGGTAATGGTGTTATTCTCCTAAATGTGCTTTGAGTTAAGCTCTCCATTGAAAACAAAGGTTTACCAGTGTGAGAAGCATTTTCTTTCAGATTTTTCTTGTTAACAATTCCACTTTCAGTCACAGAAGATACAGATGTTTCCTTTTCAACAGTCTCGTTGGTGGTAATCTCTGTTAGGGTTGGCTGTGCAGCCACCACTTTAGCAGCAGCTGCTGTGGCCAACTCATTTGTTTTTATGTGGCCCAGATTGGATGACCTGACCAACATGTTTTGAGCATTGCTTACCTCCATTTTTTTGACGATGGTTTGAGGGTTATTATGTTCCTTGGGGATGGTGACCTTCAAATTATCCATCACAGCAGGTGTCGCTGTGGTTCTTTCATCTCCTGTAGAGCTGTCTGTGGTGAAACGACTGGTTTGAGTTCGAACAGATACTGGTTCAGTAGGCGTTTTAATCGGCAAGGCAGAGTCCAACAGTCCAGTAAATTGAGTTTGAAGACCATTTCGTGCATCTCCTCCTTTTGAAACTTCACTCTTGGATTTTGGTCGGACAGACCACGCTTTGATGACCGGCCTGAAGAGGCGAGCTTTGTGATGAAGGAGCTGCTCGTCAGCAAAGAGATCAATTGGGCTGTCACCACTTTGATTATCATCTACTGCAATGAAGAACAAAATATTTTAGATAGGCAACTACAATCTTAAAAAAGGGCTTTTACAGCAATGCCATAGAAGAACCATTTTAGGTTCCCCAAAGAATCTTTCAGTGAACGTTTTTTTTCTTCTTAGTGTAAAGAACGTTTTAATATACTAATTTTAATCACTTTTTTCCAATATAAAGAACCTTTTGTTCAATAGAAAGGTTCTATGGAGTTAAAGCTCATTCATATAACCACAGTTACCAATAAAGAACTTTAATTTTTTAAGAGTGTATAGGCAAATTTTTCCAAACTTCTCTTTCTGAGAACTTTGAATGTAGATGTCAAACTCACAGTTATACTTACAGTTCTCCTCTGTGTCTGTCTCATCCACTGGGTCAGATTTATAGTATGTGATCCCCCTAACAATTATTTTTGGTTGCTTCTCCCTTCCTTGGCGCTCTTGTTCTTGCAAAGCTGCGACGGCCTTGTTTAGGTCTGATCCGCTGCTCTTCAGAAGATCTCCCACAAACTTTTCCTCATATTTACTCTGTTAAGTGCATCATAGGACACTGTGATACTGCAGCCTTTTGAGATATTATGCAATAACGTGATAGTTCACCCAAAAATGAAAATTCTGTCATCATATACTCATCCTCACATCGTTCCAAACCAATAAGAGCTAAAAATATTTTTTAATGAAACCTGAGGTTTCTGTCCCTTTATTGAAAGTCCAGGTAAACAAAACTTAGAAGATCCAAAAAGGTCATAAAGCCATTGTAAAATTAATCCATATGAACTGGTTTAATCCAACTCTTGTGAAGAGATAAGATTGATTTATATGATGAATACATTTAATTTAGTTTTTTTTTCACATATAAACATACATAGAGCGTATCACATATAGTAAACACAGACACTTGTGTGTCACACGATAGAACTAACCTCATTGGTTCTCATACATGCACATTTGAGCTTCCATGTACACCATATGTGAGGTGCTCTACGTATGTGTTAATGTAAATAAAAGTCTAAATTAAATCTGTTCATCATATAAATCAATCATATCTCTTCACTAAACTTGGATTAAACCGCTTGATTCATATACAGTGGTGTGACACATTTGAGCTTCCATGTACACCATATGTGAGGTGCTCTACGTATGTGTTAATGTAAATAAAAGTCTAAATTAAATCTGTTCATCATATAAATCAATCATATCTCTTTGAGGATCTTTTGGTCTACTTCACTTTGTCAGGCAGGTCCTATTTAAGAGATTTCTTGATTGCGAACAGGTGTGGCAGTAATCAGGCCTGGGTGTGGCTAGAGAAATTGAACTCAGGTGTGATAAACCACAGTTTTAACAGGGGGGCAAACACTTCTTCACACAGGGCCATGTAGTTTTGGATTTTGTTTTCCCTTAATAATAAAAACCTTCATTTAAAAACTGCATGTTGTGTTTACTTGTGTTATCTTTGACTAATATTTAAATTTGTTTGATGATCTGAAACATTAACAAACAACAAACATGCAAAAAAATAAGAAATCAGGAAGGGGGCCAACACTTTTTCACACCACTGTAGATTATTTTTACGATTTTTGGATCTTCTGAGTTTAGAGTACCTGGACTTTCAGTGGAGGGACAGAAATTTCTGAGATTTCATTAAAAATATCTTAATTTGTGTTATAAGGATTAACCAAAGTCTTATGGGTTTGGAATGATATGAGGGTGAGTAAATGCTGACAGAATTTTCATTTTTTGGTGAACTACCCCTTTAACAGATTATTATATAGATCATCTGCTTTGGATCTTTGATAGTCCAAGTCATTTGGCTCTTTTCATGCCAACTTATGTAAGAGTTGACAGTGGGATAAATTAGTGAGAGTTTCAAGTCGCAAATATGAGGTAACTTTTGACTCTGAGACAGTCATCCAGACATAATGTTTGGATTGTTTCATTGTTTCGTATTGGACATAATACTTATGTAATGCAACATTTGTTTTAAAAAGCACCTCCCACCTCGATGTGCTGAAAAGCAGCTGCCTCGTCATTCTGCTCCCTCAGACTCGTCCTCTTCTCCTGCAGTTGTGGAGGCAGAGTTGCAGGTGAAGTTGTGAGCAGCTGTGGATTTGGAGAGGTACTCCTTGTGTTCGACTTCTCCTCGGTCTGGTTGTTTAAGACCATCTGTCAATAATAAAACACATTCATAATGTGTTTAATATGTATAAGAAAAGAAAACGTATGTATAAGAAAAGGAACCACCACATACTTTTTCTATAGTGTCCATGCGATCAAGAAGCTTTGTGGTGACTGAATGCAATTTCAATAGATCCATGCCATAGAAGGAACCCTCCAGCAATTCCAGTATAGTTGACAGCTGTAACGATGAAGTAAATTCCGTCATGGCAAGAGCTGGTTTTATTTTAAGGGTAGGAAATGTTATGCATTCATATCCTGGCATATTTTGAACTTATTCTGGTCTATGAGATCCAACTGCAGATGTTCTAGTCACCTTAATATTATCTTTCCCAGCCTGTTGCAGCTTCTTCAACCGGAAGTCACCCTCACAGGGGTTTAAAGCCGACGGAGGTGCAATGCATGCACATTTGCAGTGGGGTCCTGATGTGATGGTCTCCACCGTATAGAAATCCTGAGGCGTCGCGTGACCGTCCCGGATCCGCTGGCACGCGCTCGCGCTCAGAGGTCTGACAACACATTTACAGCCACAGTCAGAGCCTTCCGCAAGCGCTTTCACTTTGTCATAATCACCCAGCAGCTACAAAGAAAAGAGGACGGATGCATTTTCCAGCCAGCAAAATCACCGCACTTTGTTGCATTGTAACACATCTGGACTGTTGTTATTTGTACAGTATATGGATGTGCATTTTAATGTGCATTATTGTTTTTCTGTTACCACCAGCGTTGTAAAGTCTGTTCATTTAGCTGGAACATTTTATAGTAACTTTCATTAATAACATTAACAAACTTACATTCAAACAGTATGCGAATTGCGCATATTTTAAAGACTTTTAAAATGTTTTTCAGACTGTGAGTAACTTAGTTCTCCATTCGTCTCGCGAAACATTGTCGCTCCCGACACATTAGCAAAACGATCTTAAAGATTTTTAAACAAAACACAATTTTAAACTAAATTTAACGATATGCGTGTGATATGAAAATTGCAATGAAGCGATAATGTCAGTACTTTTGAGTGTGTGTGTGTGTGTGTGTGTGTGTGTGTGTGTGTGCAGAGCTGGGTAGATTACTTGAAAATTGTAATCCGTTACTTATTCCAAATTACATGACAAAAATTGTAGTTTGTAACGTAATCCATTACATTACACATTTCAGGTAATATAATCAGATTACTTTTAGATTAATTTTGACCTTACTCACGTATCACATTGATTTAAATAGGTTAATCTTGTACCATATTGATATAAAAAAAAAACAAAAAGAAAGAAAATATATTCCATTAGTTGAAATTAAAAACATCAATTAAAAAAAGCATTTTAAAAATAAAATAAAAAGAAATAAAACACTTACTAAAAAATTAATTATTTTATTTGTTTACCTGCATGTCGTGTGGCCATTAACCAACGTCAGAGAACCGTGAACTTGTGATACTTAATTATAAAATATTTATTTTTAAATCTCAGGGGTACTTTAAGTAAATATATTAGATGAAAGATGTTCAGATGACAAAAAAAAAAAAAAGTTTGGGAATGCCTGCATTACATGTAAATAACAAATATTGTGAATTTGTGCATTTTAATGTGTTTGAAAGACAAATGCCTTCCAAAGACATTGAAATAGATGGTTAAGGATTCAAGGATTCAAAGTTGCAATGAAGCGATAATGTCATTACTTTTTAGTGTGTGTGTGTGTGTGTGTGTGTGTGTGTGTGTGTGCAGAGCTGGGTAGATTACTTGAAAATTGTAATCCGTTACTTATTCCAAATTACATGACAAAAATTGTAGTTTGTAACGTAATCCATTACATTACACATTTCAGGTAATATAATCAGATTACTTTTAGATTAATTTTGACCTTACTCACGTATCACATTGATTTAAATAGGTTAATCTTGTACCATATTGATATAAAAAAAAAACAAAAAGAAAGAAAATATATTCCATTAGTTGAAATTAAAAACATCAATTAAAAAAAGCATTTTAAAAATAAAATAAAAAGAAATAAAACACTTACTAAAAAATTAATTATTTTATTTGTTTACCTGCATGTCGTGTGGCCATTAACCAACGTCAGAGAACCGTGAACTTGTGATACTTAATTATAAAATATTTATTTTTAAATCTCAGGGGTACTTTAAGTAAATATATTAGATGAAAGATGTTCAGATGACAAAAAAAAAAAAAAGTTTGGGAATGCCTGCATTACATGTAAATAACAAATATTGTGAATTTGTGCATTTTAATGTGTTTGAAAGACAAATGCCTTCCAAAGACATTGAAATAGATGGTTAAATAACCTACAGAGTGATAATTCAAAGACAAATGCCTTCCAAAGACATTGAAATAGATGGTTAAGGATTCAAGGATTCAAAGCGTTTATTGTCATATGCCCAGTGAGGAAAACAAGTTTCCCTGAGCAATGAAATTCTTACTTTGCTGTCCACAATGAATGCCAAGACAGTGCAATGCTATACACACACATACACAAACTATACACATATACATACATACATACAATGTAAGAAACATAATAATAAAAACTATGCTGCAGTAGTAGGAATATAGACTATGAAAAAAATAGAAATATAGACTATGTGTATCTATATATGCGAGTATAGAGTAGAAATATAGAATGTGAAAATAGAAATATAGACTATGTATATGGTATCTACATATGCGAATGTACAGTATTAACTTATGTGCAAAACAAAAAAAACCATACTGAGTGATAATTCAGATAAATATTAATGTGTTCATCAGTGGTTGATGCAACGTTGAAACACTTGAAATGATTTTTGTAAATCCAGTGGTCAAATGTTGTGTAGCCACCTGACTAATGACTGGTCTTTGTGTGAATGTCCACAAATCTGCATGTAAGACTTTTTGAGTGTATATAAGCGGTAGGATATTTTAGAAAGGAACATTTAAAAGATGAAAAAGAGGAATTGAAGAATTGATAAATTATGAATAATTTATTGCTATTGTATGAATATATAATCATGTAATCCATAAAAAAGTAACTGTAGTCTGATTACGAGTATTTTAAAATGTAATTTAATCTAATTACAAGTACTTAATTTTTGGAATCTGATTACGTAATCCAGATTACATGTAATCAGTTACTACCCAGCTCTCTCTCTCTCTCTCTCTCTCTCTCTCTCTCTCTCTCTCTGTGTGTGTGTGTGTGTGTGTGTATTGTCCGATTCTATCGCTCCAGCAGCCTACTATTGCTATGGTTACTTCCTCGCGAGAACCAAAGGCCTGGAGAACGCAATGCCTATTCGCGACCGTATATGTAATATGCTCTGAAATGTTTTCTTTTTCTTTGAAAACGCTGTTTAGACGCTGTTTAATATATTTGTTATTTTGAAATCCCCCAAATTCGCACCCTGCATTCAAATAGTTAGAATTTAGAAATGTCATAAAACTTCTTCTATAGGACTATATAATAGTTGTTATCATATTTTATAGTCTATTCATATTTGAATTTACATTAGAAACTTATATGTTAAGCATTATTGTTACGTTATTAATGAAAGTTATCATGAAGTAATAGGCTACTGAAAGTTATACAGAAGCTGCACAGATAGGCATATAACTGTTAAGTGGAATTATCATATCGAGCGCTGGTGATGAGATTCTTACCTGACTTAATATATTTTCTTGGTTGTCTCTTTCAACTTGCAAAGTGTCGTCGTTCTGTTCAGTCGTCTTCTCCAGAAGTCGCTGGCGTGATTTCGGAGCGGCTGAAGTGAGAGCGAATGTCGGGAGCCATAAAACGCACCAAATTCCCATCGCGGTCATCGTGCAAGGTGTGCAATATAATCCTTCCAAACATATGCTACTTTAGATTGTGCGTTCAAATCGGGCTTTTTTCCTCTTCAAACACGATAAAACGTCAAACAGATCTCCATTTGCACTGCCCTCCAGGTGAAATAACCGAAACGGGATAAGGTTTAGCAAAAGTCCAGAGGAGGTAAAGTCCAGTTGAGGGCAGGTGCCTGGTCCCCAGCATGAAACTGGTTTGAGAAGAAGCAGGACTGACGTGACATTTGAGCTGAAATGAGGGGGCTGGATGGAGAGACGCACTGAGCGCGCTGAACGGTGCGCGCACGGATCCACAGCCGCCTTTAGCTAAAATGGCACTTCCTATTGACTTCTATTTCTAGGAATTATGTTTGTGGAATTTCTTAAATGTGTTTGAGCTACAGTATGGAGCTCACCTGTGTAGTGACGTCATGCACGCAGATGCTATAGGGAATATTGCATATGGACCTAAAAATGACCCAATAACCCCCAAATATTATTTTTCTAAATCCGTTTTAGTAGATGGGTCCATTTTATGCAAGAAGTGTGAATAAGCGTTTTAGCATTGATTTCATAATGCGTGCAGAGGGTTAACTTCTGTTTGCTTTTGTTGTTTTTTTTGTTCCTAAAAGTATATCTAGATCAGAAACATCACGCATGACAATCGAAGTGTTACAGCGCCACCTAGTGTGTGTGTGTGTGAAGACACACAGAAGACTATGCATACAAATACGCAGTACAAGTTCGTTCTTTTTCGTATATGCAAGTGCCAGGTGTTTTTTTTAGTCAGATTTTCATTCCAGTGACATTAATCTGGAACATATTGTTTTATTGCTTTGTCTTCTGGGTAAATTTCACCTTCATAAAGCCAGAACCATTCATTGCAAACCTAACTTTAGAATGTTTTCATCTGATATAAAGTCCCTTTTTACTTCTTTTAAGAATATGTCAAATCCTTTGAACTCAAAGGCTTCTAAAACTTTTAACATTCTTGAGTCTATTGTAGGCTATCTTTAAAAGACTTTCCTTTCTTTCTTTTTTTTTCTTTCTTCTTTATCATTGGTATATTTTGTTAATTTGTGTAGCTTGTCTAACTTCATGTGATGTCCGTTAGCCCCATGTTACTTCATAACTTGTTATTCTTTCAATTGCAATAAAAAATAAAATAAAATAAAAAGTGCCAGGTGTTACACTGGCTGCTCCATATTAATGTTATTACTGCGTGAATAAGAATCAACCCACTCTCTCGGGCCCCTAGTGGTCAAGTTTACCCTTTTATTTTCATAGAACCGGTGGCAGTAAACTATATAGTATGTATAGTATGTATAGTAAGTAGGCTATAATGTGACCAATACGTCACTCAATCAAGTAACTGAACAAGTAACACCATGTCACTTAAACAAGTAACTAAAAAGAAAACTGTGTTCATATTGACCAAATGAACTGTTAAAACAAACAGGTCTACAATATGTTATAAAAAAAAAGTATTATCATCAACAACAATAATAATATATGTTAACAACAACAAAACATTTTATTATTCAATATTATAATCATTTATATTTATTTATTTAAATTATTATTAATATTAATGCATATTTTGTCTCACAGAAGTGCACATTTGTATATGCGAACACCATGTTTCCCTATCTACTTCCTATAAATATGTATTATTTATAATCATACTAATAATAATATTTAGTATAATAATACAACATTATAAATTTGATAACTCTGGATGAGAAATTATTAAAAATATGTAGGTAAATAAATCTAAAAGTCACACTGAAAACAATTTATCAAAGGACACCAGCTGATTCTCATGCAACCCTGTGTAACGTCAAAATGAGTACTGTACCCTTAAGTCACAGCGTTATTATATTATACATGGAACATTATTGTGATTTCTCTTTTTGTGTACTATCAAGATTAGGTTACACTTTATTTAAGGTGTCCTTGTAACAGTGTAACTATGCATTTAAGTACTGAGTAATATTAATTAACTACATGTAGGCTACTTATTATAAGGTTAGGGTTAGGATTAGGGTTACTTGCATGTAATTATGCATAATTAATTATTATTATAATAGTAAGTACATGTAACATGTGTAACAAGGACACCTTAAAATAAAAGGAGCGTCCCAAATCGCGTACTTATGCACTATTCTATGACGTTTTGTAGTATAAATAGTGCGAGTAGTGTGTTCACACTGAAAATTTCAAAAAGAAAAAGTGCACTTTAAAGGTGCTGCATGTAAGTTTTTGACTCTACTAAAGCATAAAAATACCATAATATGTTTGCAGATATTTAAGAAACATGCTAAGTTAACATACTTGTTTATCTGAAAAACAATGCTACAGTCAGTTATTCTCCTTTGAAAATGTGAGTGAGGCCGGAATGTTGGTATCTGTTTTGGTTTGTGAAACCCGCCCACTGCCAGTTTACCCAATTGTATTTCGGCACCCCGGGTTGCCAGATTGAGGAAAACACAGTTTATTTTCATTCATCGTCAAGTACGCTAGTTCCTGTTGGTGTCGTCAATCTGGCAACCTGCATGTGCGTCAAGTCTGAGGAGGAGGGGCCGGGTAAAAAAAACCCCTCCAATATTTTGAATTTGGACTGCAATACCTAGTTCAACCACTCGGTGTCAATCCTACATACAGCACCTTTAAATACCTGGAGGATGCACTTAAATAACCGAAAAAACGAAAGGTGCATCCCAAATCGCGTACTTATGCACTATTCTATGACATTTTGTAGTATAAATAGTGTGAGTAGTGCGTTCACACTGAAAATTCCAAAAAGAAAAAGTGCAATTTAAATACCCGGATGATGCACTTAAATAACAGAAAAAAACGAAGTGTGGAATGTTGGACACTTCATGCACTCAGTTACGTAGCGAAGGGGGAGGGGCTATCAGACTCCGATTATGAATGACAGAATAACCTTATATAATTCATACTCTGCATGGTTGAGTACATAGTGCATGAGTACATAGTGTATAAGTGCATAGTGTATAGTGCGGCATTTGGGACGCAGCTGAAGTGTGGAATGTTGAACACTTCATGCACTCAACTGTGGCAGCTTTAATTACATAGTGAAGGGGGAGGGGCTATCAGACTCCGTTTATAAATGACAAAATAACCTTATATAATTCATACACTAAATGGTTGAGTACATAGTGCACAAGTACATAGTGTATAAGTGCATAGGGTATAGTGCGTCATTTGGGACGCAGCTTATGAGTTGACTGGTCCTTTAAGAAGCGCCGTCTGTGTTTCCACTACTAACGTTACACGACAACACACAATACAGCAGCAGCACTACACAAGCTTCCGCGGAGCGGAACAGTCTATCATCCACTGACTGCATATCCATTTTCAGCACCATTTTTGATTGTAACGATGTAGTTAATGATAGAAGGATCCGTTATGACTGTATTATCATCGTTAGCTTAGCTTTTTATTTTAAGCAAAGGGGATTCCAGCTAACGGCTATCAGCTCTAACAACAGAGGTTCACCAAAGATGAGCAAACAAAAGTACTAATGCTCCTCCACAGCGAATGACCAAAAGCATTATCGAGCGATAACAGGACTGGTGGGAATCGACGTCAAGATGATGAAGAAAAAGAAGTTTAAGTTCAGAGTTGATTTTGAGCTGGACGAACTGTCGTCGGTTCCGTTCGTCAACGGAGTTCTGTTCTGTAAAGTCCGCCTGCTTGACGGTGGATTCTCGGAGGAGTCATCGCGGTAAGGAGACTGTGAGATGTGGAGGGATGGAAATGGTTTATTATTATGGGTATGGGTGATATTGGGGGTTCATTCTTTATTGCTTTTTAATAAAGCATAACCAAAACAATACATGTTATGGTGCGCATACAGAGCTGTGAGATGAACTGGTCTGTGTTTCTTAATGATTAGTCTTTTATGATCATTAAGGTGTATAATTGCACATTATTTCAGTCAAGGCTGAAGTCAACACTTTTGTGTTTTTGTAGTTTTGATGATTTCAAATCAAATTCAATGGAGACTTTTCATACTATGTGACGTAATATCGAGTTATTATACATAGAATGTTCATATTATAGGGTATTTATTCAAAATTAATTAATTTCATAATAATATCTAGGCAAATTAAAACCTCAACAGAACTTCAGGTGTCAAAAACCTTGCCCAAACTACTTGAATATCATCATGTATATTATTTTCATTTATAAAGACAGTTTAGACCTTCATAGCGTATGAATAGTACACCATATATGACCTACATGACTTAATTTTTACTTTAGAGGAAATGGCCTGGTGCTCTAGAAAGCTGACATGCCATTTGTGTAAAAGATTAGCTAGTAATTATAATATGTCAGAGGCATGGTTAAAAACATAAGCATAAATAAGTGGATTGGTCTTGAATTTTGTCAGTGTGTATAGATGAAGATTAATTTTTAGCCAGAATAAACAAAAGTGGTCTAACATTTGGTCTAAGTTTCCTTGCTGTTTTTACTTTTTATCTTTTATTAATAATTGCAATATATTAAGCATATCCTGTGTGCTGTGTGCGCTTCATTTTATAGCAGTTCTTGTGCTGAGTCACTTCAGGCCACACGTTAAAACTGTATGTGTGTGTGTTTGATGTGTAAATGAGCTGCGCTGTTCTCAGACCTGCACACAGGTTGACCTGCATGCAGGATGTTGATGCATCAGAGGGGGTGGATTTAAATGTAGAGCAGTGAAGAGAAATGTGCAGTGTTACAGATTATTACTGCATGATGAATGTCTTGTATGACGCCATCAGAGGTGCAAATGTGACAGTCAATTGCTGCACCTTCCAAAATTATTCTAGATTTATTTATGCATTTGGCAGATGCTTTTATCCAAAGCGACTTGCATAGCGTTCAGGGTATTTATCAGTTCATGCATTCCTTGAGAATCAAACACTTGATCTTGGCATTGCTAGCATCATGCTGTTTGAGCTTCAAGAGTATTATCTCACTCCTGTTTCTATCCCCGTTTTAGTATCTCAGTTGAAAACAGACTGAATTTTTAAAAGGCCATGTGTTTTTTATTGAACATTATGGGTGAACATTAGCACCCAGCAGAGAGGAAAAAAGGACTGGAACTACTAATTAATAATGATAAAAATCAATAATGAAAAGTACTGACTACTAATTTCATTGTTGTTAGGTCAGGTTTGTGGGTTGGTAATTTTTTTATCACTTTATTATGGTAACTTTAATATTTGAACATTTTTGCACACAATATAGTGCAGATTATATAGACTTAAATGTGCAGTGATCAAGATGTTGAATATCCAATTCTAAATAATTGTCAGATTAACCGAGCCCTAAAAACCAAAAAAGGATGTCTCTACTCTTCCCTCTCAGTAGAGATATCACAAACCCTTTTTTCTGTCTTGCTGTAACGTTTGTCATTCACTCTTTTTTTTGGAGCTCTGCAATACAAAGGCTTCCCACAGTTAAATATTAATGTGTCAGGCAGTGAAAGTGGTCTGTCAAACTTCATGACAAATTCCCTTCAAACAACTCCCTGACAATGCTTATTCATCCAAACAGAAAGAGAGCTGTAGACCAAAACCACAGCAGCTTAGAAGATCAAGCTTGGGCTACATCAGTGCTTCTCTTTTCAGTTATGCAGTTTGCAGGGAGTATCTAAGGTAAGGTTCATGAGTTTATTCTCCCTCCAGACTTGAGTTTGCCTCCATCCGCCTGTGGTGATTCTTTTGAAGAACTCCTGTTTCATTGCAGACATCTTGTGGGAGAACCTAAGGAAAGAGCACACTGAAACTGAGCACTCCTGCTCTCATTTGCTCAGCTGACTTTGCCATGGCAACGGCATATTTTCCAAATACGGAAATCAGACCAGTGGCTTTTCATGGTTCTTTATTACAATATTAAGCCTGTTGCACATTTTGGCATAAGCATTGGTTTAACAGCTCGTTATTCCAGCAAGAGCAGTGATGCTAATGGCTCTAGCACATGCATGCTGCACTAATTGTGTCTGATGGACCAATGAAAAAATAGTACTACTGTGCCATTTTTCCAGGAAGATAATGAGTGCAGAATGATATGGTAGATTGTTTTCATTTGTGCTAGTAACGCATACCATTAGTACCTAATGCTACTGAATTCATTATGTCCTCTGTGTTTTCTCATCATTAGTGGTTTGTAGGGAAGGTATTAATGAGTCATTGTGATGCTAAATTGTTCCAGTAAGCTCTGTGCACATCCAATGAAGTCTATTAGATCAGAGAGTCAGAGGCCAAACATTATTATTTAATAAGAATGTTAATACGAAGATGGAGGCCTCCTGTATCGACCAGAGCTCTGGCCTTGCTCGGGTTGTATGTCTGAATTATGAGTCTGCAGCTTTTCGTTTATAGTCTCACTGCCAGTAATTTGCCTATAATCATATCAGTCAGGAAAGGAGTCATATTACCTGACATTATCATGTCCTCCTTTTATTATCATTTGCAGTGCCACCTTTGTGTTGGTGAGAAGAGGCAGCAAAGCGGGACTTTGGACTATGGAGCACTAAGGAGAAATAACAGTTAAAATCAACATGAAATCATAGTGTAATATGATTTGATCTTGATTTGATTAATAACTTGATCCGCCTTGAAATGACTTTCCTTTTTGGTGGACATCGTTATGTGAGCCATTGGTTATAGTGTTGTTAACCAGCAGCCAAATAGCTGTTTAGACATTATTTATAGGCTACTGCAGGTTCTAAAATTACAAATGTAAAATTTTAATTTTAAAATGTGAAATTATCAGTAGTTAAAATTTAATTTAATTTACATGTGATTAAGCATCACTGGGATTCAGGATATTAATATCAAGTTCTGGTCTACAGTTTGTGCTATCCTGTTTACTCTGAAACATGTCTCATTACGGAAGTAAAATGGCTTTTGAAATGCATTTCACATTGATTTTAATCTTTTTTTTTGTTGTCAGTGTTTTTGTGTTATTATTATTATATGCATGTCAAGAGCTTAATTTAAGTGAAAGACAGGTTGTTTACAGCGAGTCAGCAAAGTTTTGTAGTGCTTTATTACCAGAGGGTTTTCAGTCTAAAGCACTTCAAGTCCTCTGAGGTCTCTATTAACAGCAGGTGTCTATTCCCTCTGCCCAGCTTTTGTAAGTAAAAAAAGTGTGATATTTTGAGCGTTACAACAATTGTAGAGTTCATTCAGCTGAACAAGCTTTTGCATGTGTCATTGTGTTGTTAGCTTGAAAGAAACTCTCTCACACTGTTTATTTCCTTAGAAACCACCCATGTTCAGTGGAAGGAAAACAAACAGTTTTTCGTTGGTAGGAGAAATATGCTAGCATTGTTTAGAGAAGTCATTGGCCTCTGCTGCTATGGTGACAGAATCAGAGTTGAGGGAATCTCCCCAGCTGGATGGGAGGTGCCCGATTATGTGTTATTTTGGCTGTTTCCCAAAGACGTCATTGTGGAGCATTAGGAGATGACAGAATATGTGGAGGGACTCTGTTCTTTTCCCTAACATTATATTAATGATGCATCAAATGCAAATTTATTTTTTCATAATAGGGTAGGTCTGTGGAGCACTATGTGTGCCATATTAATAAATAAATATTTTCATTAAAAACATTAATAAATATGATAAAATATATTTTAATAAATCACAATTTGACAATAAATAAATTTATATCATATCAATAAATACATTACTGTCACGTTTCATGATTTATTTATTTATTGGAATTTTGACATACATGGATATACATTACCATCCATTCAAAAGTTTGGGGTTAGTAGAACGATTTTATTTATTTTATTTTTTTTAAGAAATTACTCTTATTCAGGAATTCACCAAAGAATACTGAAATACATAAAAATATTAAGCAGCATAACTGTTTTCAACGTTGATAATAATAAGAAATGTTTCTTGACCTAATCAGTGTATTAAAATGATTTCTGAAGAGACTGGAGTAATAGCTGCTAAACATTCAGTTCTATCATCACAGCAATAAGTTACATTTTAAAATATTGTTACAATTTTAAATATTTTCTATTTTAACATATTTTACAATATTGGTTTACTGTATTTTGATCAAATATATGCAGTCTTGGTGAGCATAAGAAACTTCTTTCAAAAACATTTAAAAAATGCTACAGATCCTAAACCTTTGAACAGTAGTGAACATATGCTTTCAATGAAATATTTATTTATTAATATGGTACACTCACTCCTCCATACCACTGATATTTTATTTAGATAATATGAAAATCTAGTTTTATGAGCAGTGCTGCTTGGCCAAAGCAACATACAGTTAAGTGTTTAAAAGGGCATTACCTTGCATTTGCAACATGCATCTTTGTGTTAGCACTGTCCTTTGACTTCCAACAGGGACAAAACACTTCATCCTGACATTTATATGCTTGCAGTGTTGTGTTCACTCTCTTAGATGTGTATCATAGCATCACAATTTCCCTCAAGCTCATTTTATAGACTTGTATCTCTTCAAAAGCCCTCTGGGCCTCACTCGCCATCTGCCCTGTCTGCAAACATCTGTCTTAATTGGGAAGCAGAGCACCTGCACAGGGAGGTCCATTTTCAGATGGGAAATTAATTAAACTTCTTGTTGTCAGTATGGCCTTCTGCCCTGTCTGCAAACATCTGTCTAATTAGGAAGCAGAACACCTGCACAGGGAGGTCCATTTTCAGATGGGAAATTAATTAAACTTCTTGTTGTCAGTATGGCCTTCTGACTCCAGGCTCTAATTAATCACAGAATGTGAGTCAGACTCTTTTAATGCAGTCGACTTGAAGTGAATATTAAAGCTGGATTTTGTGTGACTCATTCTGTTGTGAAATCGTTTCAAAATCTCCCTGAGGAGCAATGCTGCAGGAACTGTCCACCCCTGTTGGAATTTGCAAATGCAGATGTGAGAGAGGGTTCGCGCTGTTTTGGATCCGTGGATGTTTGTTTTAAACTCTTGTGCCAAGTCTGTTCTTTATAGTGACATCTTGCTTTAACAACCCGGTGTGTGTTTGCATTTCACAGCGAGACGGTCCAGGCAAACTGTGTACGCTGGAGAAAAAGATTCTCCTTCCCCTGTAAAATGAGCGCTAATGCTGGAACCGGAGTCCTTGACCCCTGTGTGTGTCGAGTTTCAGTCAGAAAGGTAGAAACACACATGCACCCTTTTTTGGTTTACAATAAACAGTTTGGAGTTTAAATACTGAGAATGATTTGATTGTTTTTTTTATGTATCAGGAACTGAAAGGTGGAAAGACTTATGCAAAGGTAATTTCTTTTTCCTTTTTGAATTAAACATACCAACACTATTCAATTTGCTTTTGTGTAGTTGACAAAAAGCAACATGTGACATTCGCAAAGTCACCTAATACTATTTTAAAAAGCGCTTACTAATTCTTTTGGAATTATTTTACAAGTGGTTTTTACAACATGATGTTAATTGAGAGGCTATGTGGAATATTTATAAAGATTAAAATACTAGTCACTCTGTAGGACTATTTAAATCAACTATAAAAAAAAAGCTAAATTGTGATTTTAAATGGTGAAAAAAACTAACTTCCATGTACATTCATGTGTGTTTTAAGCTAAAATCTTCATGTTGCAAAAAACAAAACAAATTTACCTGTCATGAATAGAAACTAAAACAGGGCATTGGTTATTCATCAAGTAGACAGTTCTGTAGAGGATTATAAAATATTGAAAGCAAAGGAACAGCTGAAAATAGATCACTCTGGAACACTGTGTTTGTATGTGATTCTGTTTGTGTATGAGTAGTGCACTTCTGTTCATAAAAGCATTAACCTTATTATTTAGCTTTTTACTCTAAAGCTTCAGTGCTTTTTATTTTAAAATTATTTTTTTTCTGGCAAAAATAAATGTCTTTCCTGAATTTGTACTGCTTTGGCTTTCTGTACAGCTGGGTTTTGCTGATCTCAACCTGGCGGAGTTTGCAGGATCGGGTAGCACCACACGCAGGTGTCTATTGGAGGGTTATGACACCAAAAACACTAGACAGGACAACTCCATCCTTAAGGTATAGAACCGCTCAGACTTCCTTTCAGGGTCTTCTCAGCTATTTCTTTATTGCTTTATTCTTTATTGCATTCTTTGATTTATGTCATTTTAGTTGTTAGTAGTGGTCCTTTTGGTCACTAAAATCCCCATGAAATCAAAATAGACAATTCTTATTTTTTTTATGGAATATTGCAGTATTTATTATAAATGTTTTTTTCCCCATGCACATCATTCTCTTTTTTTATTCATGTGCCCTCATAATCTTAACTTCCCCAAAATAACTTCCCCTCCATCTTGCAACAGCATCTCTTCTCTTCTCTGATGACGTGTTTACTGGTGCAAGGGCGGGACAACCTGTCACTCACATGAGATGGCAGCAGTAGCAAACTTCAACAATCATTCAATCAGGTTCAGTCAGTCAGTTCCCAATGGACAGAATAAAATCCACCCCAACATTTTTTTGTTCAAGAAGCCGTTTCATTCGGATACATGTCACAATAGGGAAGAAAAGACTATTGCAACTTGTTTAATGCCGACTTTAAGAAAAAAACACTAACCCCAGATGTGTATACCTGAAATCATATTATTTTAAAGGGGAGTAAAACCATGTAAAAACTTTGGGGGAAAAAATGACCTTTTTACCTGGCAGATAACAAAACAAGTGAAAAAAATACCCCTCTTTTTACTTGGTCACTAAGCAACCATCCAAAACACCCTAGCAACCGCATAACATCACTCTAATAATCACTCAGAGCACTTTAGCAACTGCCTTGCAACACCCTGGAAACCATCCAACACATGCATGTGAATTTCGTATAATCAAGAGCTACTCACATTCTCAGAAAAAAAAAATCCAAAAATAAAATGTCATACACATCCAGTTTCTTACTTTTTGTCATTTGTCTTTGCCTGCAGGTGATTATCAGCACACAGCTGATGTCTGGGGACCCCTGTTTCAAAACGTGAGTGTTACGTTTAAATGCTTTTGAATATGTTATAATTTGGTTGGAGATGCTACTGAAGTGAGAAAGAATTGAAGTTGGGTTGTAAGAAGGCCCTATTTTTTATCTCTACAGCATGCATTTTTAAAATTTAGTTTAGCTGAAGACCCACAGACATGGCTGGACTTACCATTGGGCTTGAATGGGCTGCAGCCCAGGGGCCCCATCTTGTAGGGGGCCCTGCCTTAACCCGTTTACATTTGTTCAGTTATGTGCCAGTCAGAAATTATTAGCTGCATTTCAGGAAATTATTTGCGCATACGGGCCAGCCGGGGCTAACAGCTTCCAACTACGACCTTCGAAGCTATAATCAAACAGCATAAACTGGAATTTATGATTTTTTTGACATAGAAAAAGGACACGCGTATTAAATCACGTCTGCGCTCGCACATTTACATAGATAATGATAAATTCTCACATGTTCAAGCCTCACTTCTTTACAGAGGATGATTCTATATTATACTAATGTTCCACTAAATTAATCTGAAGAGTTTTGAGCACTCTCTCCCGTCCAAAGACTATAGAATACTCTAATATCTTACAGGGACTTTGTCCCGTCTCACTACCACCACACAAAGTGGAGCAGAAATTTCATCAAAACGATTTTAAAAAATAAAAATAGCCTATTAAAAAAAACTATTTTTTTAATAGTAAAAAATTATTTTACAAATCTCTATATAACAGAATATATGTTTAATCACGTCCTGAATCTCGGTGCGGGATTGCGCATTTTGGTTTTACTCATTTTCGCAGGTTTAGCACGTTTGGAAAATTCCCGCAAACATTTATTTAATATACAATGTAGGTTAGATGAGTTAAAAAAATTCACAGAGAATATCAGATTAAGTCAATCATTTGAAAA